GTTAAATTTTAATAGCTAAATAATTAACCATTGTTTTTGGTAATTGGAAATTAGTGGCATTGCAAATGTTATGGACAGTTGTGTCGCTTACCACCAGGCGCATGACTAGTTCGTCGCGTCACTTAGTATAAAAAAAAATTAATTACCATATTTTGAGGCACCTTAGTGGAAATAGAGCTTTAAATAGCAACACTGAGTACATAACTTTTTTTAACGCACACACATAGCTCAAAAGTTTGCCTAAGAGTGAGTATTGTCAGTGGCGTAGCGTCGATTTCTGCTGCCCGGGGCCAATCTTAAAGTTGCTGCCTCCTTTATTTTTATGATTACAAAAGTGACTAGTTCGTTCGGGCAGACTCGACTCGATTGTGTTTTTATGTTCGCCTGCCGTCTCCACCTTTGTACCGTTCTAGATACGTTTTCTCAAGTTCTTAGTGGAATTTAAAACAATTTTGATAAATAAAATAATTTTGATTTTAATGAAAATTATTTTATTTCCCGCCCCCATTGCTGTGCCGCCCTGGGCCATGGCTCACTCTGCACCCGCGGTACGCCACTTAGTATTGTATGCCGATTGAAACGCAACTCTGGCTAAGGAGGTGCAGAGGAGTCACAACTCCTTCTACCTTGAAGGAGTTGTTGAGCATTTACAATATTTATACTTGCTCGGTTTGATGTCACCGAGGTGTCTTTCGAATTACGTAACTTGCCAGCTGTAACGGAATTACGGAACTCCAATCGATGGTTATTGAGACACAAGTATGAAGTTGATAGTCGTTAAGCATTAGAATACTCTGTAGAGGTGGCCTTCAGCATCAAGAGTCATTGCTACAAGGTGAAGTAGCCACCGTGGTGCATGCCTAACAAATTGCCAGTCAGTATTTACTCTATCGTGTCCCTGGAAGGTGTAAACTTATGAAACTTGTAGCTATAGACAGTCACTCTATATAATGTAGAGACAAGTAATGGAATTCGTAAATATTAGATATGTAACTCGCAAAAACAACTTTAAGTATCACTGTATAGAATCGATTATCAACAACCATGTTTAACACATAGTTGGAAAATTAAATTTACCACGAAATATGTGCAACATACTCGTATATCTTGAAGTACCTCTGATACGTATATTACCGTCTTTTACTAGTAAAACAACATTCTTAAAATACGCGATCGTTGATATCTCATCTGTGAGAAAATTTTCATGACATTATTTAGTTATCGAATCATATCGAATCCTAATTATTTATTTCTATAAAATAATTCATGAACATGAATAAAAATCACTAACCAGTCATATACCGTGTCTATTATACATGATTCAAATGTTGCAATAATTGCTAAAGATATTCGCGTTGATGTCTTTTTTCGTATAAAAACCTTTGTCGTATTATTTACATAATGTTTTACGCATGTTATTAAATACGAGGTTAAATTATCTTAGGATACGGTTCCGTGTGCGGTTAGTTAGCTAACTAATGCAAACTTTATAAGGATTAGTTATCAGCTCAAATATTACATACTCCTACGCAGCAATACCTTATCAAACAAAAATATTATTTTGTACCGAACTTAGTTCTCTTGTATAGGCCTGCAATCTCCAACTATGCTATCTAATGCTCTATAATTAAACTCAATTTATCGCATTTATATTATCTATAGGGTTTTATTAAATTATTTTATAAAAAGCAGCAACAAAAAGCGAGATGGATACTCAAATAAAAATCAATAATAACTAAAGGGAAGTACCTGAACCCAATGTCCACATTCCTAATTTTATGATTTGTCGGGACGTAATGGGAATTACACTGTACACTCGGTACTTGGCAGCGGTACGCTATCTCTAAGAAAAAGTAATAAAGTTCTTCAAACTGCTTATGGCGATGAAGCACCATGCAAGATGACTATTTACAGCTGGTTTGCAGAATTCAAATGCGGTCGTGTGAATCTCAGTGATGAATTTCGTGATGGTCGCCCGTCCACTGCTGTGAACAACAAAAACATCGATGCTGTGCGCCGTATGATCGAAACAGACAGGCATGTGACATGAGATTCGGACATCTTTTGCATAAGCATGAGTCAAATATAATCAATACTACACAAACATTTGGGGGTGAAAAAGCTGTGCTCTCGGTGGATCTCACACAATTTGATTGAGGCTCAAAAAACAGATAGCGTCGCTTGGTGCAATGCCATGCTTACCAGATTCAGCGAAGGGGCGTCAAATTTGGTGTGGGACATAGTAATAGGTGACGAAACATGGATTTATAGTTACGATCCCAAAACAAAACAGCAATCGAGGGTATGGGTCGATTTTGTGCACCAAGTTCGACTGTAATGTCTTTTTGATCAATTTGCTGTCCTAGACAGATATTATATTATATAGACAGACCTAGATATAGGAAAAAATACGTATCATTTTTTTATATTCTTTTATTTTGGGATCTTGTTTCCGTTTATCAACAATATTGAGAATATTAAAAAAAAAATTAAGATTATATTTTTTTGTAAATACTAATTGATGAAGTAATTAACAATTAAGTCAATTTACTTACAATAAACTAATGAAACTACGTCATTGCGCCATTAAATTAGAATTGTGTGGTATATAGAATGTTTTATGCAGTTTCGGATTTGGACCGTGACGTTAGTAACAAAGGACTCATATCACGTCACCGCTCCAGACTGTTTTGTTCAAGATCAGTGAATCCGGGAAAGCTACATATATGCGTCAGAGGATACAGTTTTGCGTCATTCAGGTTGTAGTTCTTAGGTATCATACAGGATTTTTCATTTTACTATGATATAAATAATAATGTACACATGTGATCATCGTTCAAAAAGAAATCTCATGTCGGTGTAATATCCTTCTCAAAAAAGGAGTTTACAAATAATATAAATTGTTGTGTATGATTTTACGTACATAAATCTTATAAAACAATAAAGTCGTGCGATCGAACTTTGTTTTCCCTTTGCGCCACTGCGCATCTCTATGTACTATTTTCGATTAATGTTTTTCTATAGTAGAGTCTATGTCCCTCGTTCATGAGGAATAAAAGAGGGTAGAGCTTTGATAAGTACGTACTTAAAGGATAGCTCAACAATATGACTTTTATCTACGTGTATGGAATTAATTGATTAAATTTTAACTTACAAAAAAAATCTTACTTACACGTGTTTAATAACGGCAATGGCTAAATCGCACACGAAACCAAACATTGTCGTAACTGTACATTGTGGAATTAAGAAATAAGGATTTAAAAATAAAAATAAAAAATACTGAAAGAAATCAATATACATACATATATATATATATAAATAAATACTCGTATATAAATAAATAATTAAGTATTATGTGTAAATAAAAATTATCACATTAATAGCAATAAGATCCATTCAGTTTTTTATTTTTCTAAATTGTGTTTTCTCAATTTCACAATTTTGAGTTATGACAGTATATGGTTTCATATGCGATTAAGCCATTGTCATTAGTAAACACGTATAATTATTATTCAGTTGTAGTTTTTTCAATCATTTGCACTTTCTCGGATGATATGGTTTTAGTTGATAGGTATTTAAATGTACACTGTGCACTATGCACTGGCATAGTACCTAATAGGAGTTCATATAATGCTTGAAAAATTGTGTAATTATAGAGTTAAGAACTCTTTTTTGGTTTTGACGATTGTTACACATTGGAAATGAAACTATTTTTTCGGATCTGAATTGTAACCATGAAACTTTTAAAGGGCCCATTTTGTTTGAAAAAACAATTTTTTTATGATGTTAAGTAACGGCATGTACAAATCAGCTGCAACAATCATAGGTAACCGAGGGGCACTACCATTACGCCCATCAATCACCCTGCGGTATAATTTGACAAATCCCATGTACTTGTAATTTCATAAGTACCCTATACCCTACAAAGACGGAACACATTACTGCTTGACTAAAAACTATACGCGAGTTATATTTGAAAATGTTATAAAATGTGCAATAAATTAGGTGAAAAAATATTTTTGTGAAATAGAATTTATAGTTTTTACAGAAAAATAATGTTTTGTGAAAGACGCAATCCTAAAATGTGTACTACAAGCATATATTTCTGAAATTATATCGGCAATAAATGAAATAGAAATTCACGTTCTTTCAAATTCAGAACATCTGTTTATTGGATGTAGTTTCAAATTAGAAAATATTTAAAAATATTATTAAAATTTGTAACGGTTTATAAAATTACCTAATTTCAATTATTTTGATATAACGTCAGTTAATTAATTATTTAGGCAATTGTGTATCTAAAAACAATAGCGAGAATGGGAAATGCGCCCTAAATAGGTCACTAAGTATAAACCATAGTAATAAAAATATCTGAATTCACTCATATGGTTACTTGCCAATGCAATGATTTTTTATTTTAGATTATTATGTGACTGCTTTTCCGATTTCAATCTCTTGCCACTAATAGGCAAGTCTTGGGCAAAATGACGCGCTTCTTACACGGAGTCGAATCAATCAATGCAGTTTACATACACTATGAGAAAATCAGCAGAGGCACCGTAGGAAAAGTTTGTGGTAGCGGGAGGGACTCGCGGAGAGGCAGACGCGGTGCGGGCAGGCGGGGTGCCGACGTCACGAGAAAGCCGAGGTCTCTATATAACCGCCAACGTCCCTCCCACCGGCATACTCGCATCTAGCAGCCGTCCGCTTGCGCACGTTGCTCTAGTATTTTCTCGCATTCATTATTGCTCACTCGTGTTCGCGCTTCGGACGCTAGCACTTGTCCGCCATGACCGTCACTAGCAAAATGAACAGTGTCTCTCGCCAATCGGTATTGAGCCGCCTCGGCCCCGGTGGTCTTCTCTATGCCGCCAACAAAATTTTAGCGGTACGTGTCATCGCAATGTGAACCACTTTACCAGTGCTTATGAGGATATTGTTTTTGCAGTGTTTTTGTGTATTTGACGTAATTGTTCATAGTGTGATTTGGTTGTTCTCAGGTCGCTGTGCCTGGCAAAGAGGAAGAACGTTGGCGCAGCAAAGATGAAGGCGCTTTATTTAAGCGCTGGCGGCGTACCACCACGCCTGCCGAACCTGACTCTCCTGCACCTGCTGCACCCGCAGCAGCGCAGCCCTCGGACCTTCTAAAGTTCCTAGCTATTGTAAGTATTTTATATTTGTCAACTCTAAATTGAAAAAATACATTTGATGTATAATTTAGACATACATAAATAAATATTAAGAAACAGTTAAAATAAATATCCAATAATTAACTTTTATGCATTAGACGCGTTAAGTAAATATAAACCTACTCATTAATACTCTTCAAACTATATATTCTATATTCTACTCATCAAATTATATATTCATTAAATTTTGGTTTTTCGTTGTTACAGAATGCATTAGAGTTATCAGCCCCAGCATCTGATGCGCTGCTGAAGTCCCGCTCCTCGGAGTGGTTTCAGCTAGCAGGTCATCCAGGTTCCCTGGCGCCTGCTGGTCCCGGCACCGTGTGGAAACGTCGCGCGCCCGGAGATCACCCGCAACATAATCCGGAACGCGACGCGTACGAAGCTCTCACTACCTGTCCGCATATGAGCTCAGCCATCCCGCGCTTCTACCGGGAACTTGAATATGGTGGCGAGAGATTTATTGAGCTCCAAGACCTCCTTCACGGCTTCCGCGATCCTCATGTCATGGACATCAAGATGGGCACTCGTACGTTCCTAGAAGATGAAGTCAGTAACGCTCGTGCTCGCACCGACCTGTATGAGAAAATGGTGCGACTTGATCCCAATGCCCCCACTGAAAGCGAGCATGCAGCACGTGCCGTCACTAAATTGCGCTACATGCAGTTCCGTGAACAATGCTCGTCTTCGGCCGAACTTGGCTTCCGCATTGAAGCAGTGAAGCTCCCTGGACAACCTCCGCTCACCGATCTACAGAAGGTGCGCGAACCAGACCAGCTTGCCGCCACCGTGGCGAGGTTCTTCGGCAACGATGAACGTGCTCGGCGAGCCGTAACCGCGCGACTTCGCGAAATCAGAGAACTATTCAAACGCTCAGATTTCTTCAAAACCCATGAAATCGTCGGTAGCAGCATATTTATCATTTATGATGATGAGCGTGTTGGCGCCTGGTTGATCGACTTCGCTAAAACCAGACGTGTCCCGGAAGGCACAGAAGTTAACCATCAAGATCCTTGGCAGCAAGGAAACCACGAGGAGGGATTCCTTTACGGTTTGGATAGATTGATACAAACGATAGAGAATGCGCAGTTGCCGGCGCAAGATGATGAAACGGCGAGTGAGCCGGATGTGTCACGCTGAACTCACGGCGAGAGGACCCTGGACTCGCCTCGCGGTCGTTATCACCGCCTGACAGGCGCCGCGCTTGCGCCTGAATCCGCCCCAGTTAAGCCTGCGCCCACCCGTTGGCGCAGGGAGGAGTAGCACGAAATTCGTGCATATGAATGAGAATTAAGATGTATTTGAAAATTCTCTATGATTGAATTAATCGCCTAATGTTTTGATCTAGTCTTAAATTATTTTAATACATGATATGATTTTGCCTTAATTTTCTTGTTTTATTACGTACAGGATAAGTTTAGCACTCACCTAGCCATTCAGTAAAATTTAGATAAAACATTTGGTGGGTACCTCTCCACTAACATAGTACTTACTATCTACAACTCACACTTACGGCTTTAAGAATTAACGGGACTGCCGCCGCTCAAATTATTTCCAGGATACTAAATGTCATTGTCCAGCAGTGCACAAATAATTGTAACCGTGATGAAATTACGAAGCTCCAAGTAATCTTATTCGTTGATCTCCTACTATTCTTAAGTTCTATGGAAATGATTGCAACTTAGCAATAAGACTTATTGTACCTTGTATTTTAGACTTCAAATTATGCCTAAGGTTAATATTAATACTAACCATGGGCTAAATTAATTGTTTTATTATATAAAAAAAAAATAATGCACCTACTTACCTACAGTCAGTGTGGAAATTATCTGAGCGTAGAAAGAACCCTTGTTCGGTACATGGCAAATCCTTGATTCGAGAATACCTTACGTTGCAATAATAACCGTGCACTTCTGTTTCCGGATAAATTTAAGTTTCCATCTAGAGTGCGCCCTTAAGTCATTTCGATAAAGTTTAATTTTATGATCATTTTAACGCTAAAAGTATGCTTGTACTTGTACTGTGATAATTTACGAGTAGCGTCATCTATCGACTTCATTCCGCATTAACTACAGTAACATCATTTGTATGAAGAGCTCATGCTAATCTAAAAACAAAACAAAACCTCCTTTCCCTAAAACATCCAAACATTACGTAGTTTCAATCTTCAAAATAAAACAACAAATGACAAATACCTATTTATTATAGAAATAAGAATATAGCTAAAATAAATCGAAATAAGTCTGTGATTAGTTACACGTACGTTAAAATTATCAAAAGTAACGCAAAAATACTTATTGGGAACGAATTAATAGTAAATGCAAGACGACATTACACATTAAAGAAATTAATGCCCAATTAAGGTAAGTTACAAAACTTCAAAAATTCAAAGTACGACGAGGTGATCTATGAATTGTCTACAAAAGCTATTTAGATTAAATGTCATTATATTATAGTTAATATGGTTCTAAAATATAATTCAATATTAATTTGAAACATCTGCCAACAACTTAACACGTAAGTTGACTTAAGAAAATTATTTGCATGTGACATGTCATTAAATTAATTTCAAAATACAAACTATCAATATTAGAAGTAACATTATTTACAAGGAAATAACTAAATGTCTGTAAAAGAAAAGATGTATTCTTTTCTGGATTATGATTGTCCTATCTTAAAAGTTGATTACCAAAAAAACTAAGTCCATTTGTAACAAACAAGTCTGTAACAAACTATGTCATTATTTCTTAGTTATCTTTTAAGGCAATCTCAAGTGTATAGACACAGTAAGTGTAACTTATGTGTCAACCATAGTTAGGTTTTTCTTTGCTTTGACTGTTCTGCAGTTGTTTACTTTAGTTGCAAACCTCAGGGAGTTTAATGTCTCATTGAAGCATTCATCGAATTGATTGATATTGACCAACATTAATGTTTTTGAGTTGCCGCCAAGGCTAGGCATCAGTAAGTGTGTCAATTTTGAGTTTCTGTAAGGGATATGGGCTTGGTTTGTTTGTAGAGACAAAATTACTTTGGATAACTCAGACAATGACCTGTTTATATGTTTGGTTTCATCCATCCTCTGTGTAGTTTTGCCACTCTCAGAACCAGCCAAGTCAACCAAATTCAGATTGCTAGTATACTTTTCCTTACGCTTTTCATGGATAGCGGATATTTTAATTTGAGCTACAGAGTGAGACCTGGAGCTTCGCTCATTGTTAAGTGTTGCGGCTGTTTGTCTGTTACGTTGAGCAAATATCATCAATTTGATGAAGTCATGGGAACTCTTCACCTCCTCCTCTTTGAGGTTGGAAACATAGACATCAACCGGTCCTTTAGAATTAACCATTTTGATATCATGACTCACTTGTTCCTTACTAGAATTCAATAAGTCATAAATAACTTCATTGTATATTTCTAGAAATGATGCTTTTATTCCTATATCCCAACCCATTTTCTTCAGGTCATCCATACATGTAAAAATCATGTTGAAAGCACGAGGTATGATACCATACTGTTCTTTGCCACAGCCACCTTCCATGGTATAAGTTTTACCAGAACCAGTTTGCCCATAAGCAAAAATACATACATTGTATCCATCCAGTGCCGACTGAACCATAGGAGACACTTCAGCAAACACATCTTCCTGTGATGAATGTGGAGTAAAAATTCCATCAAAAGAAAAGGCATGTTTGCCTTTACGAGTAGAAGAATTGCACAATTCAATTTTTTCAACTTCAATGGAGCAAGCATCGAGGACATGAAGGTTGAAGAGTGGTTTTGTAGTCTCCGATTCTAGGGGTGGTCTGACCCTACAATACACGCGTATATTACCTTTTAAGTCTTGTATAGTATTTCTTAAATCTCTTTGCTCTTTATGCATGGCAGCTAATATATTTTGCAGTCCTTCTGTGTCTGATACATTTTTTGTTATTGTCACTTGTGCTTCTTTATAATCAAGCTGCAACTTCTCATGCTCGATGGAGACTTTCTTGAGGTGGTCGGAAAGAACTCGTAAAGCTTCTGCTTCTTCTTTGAGGCTGTTATAACGTCTGTTTAAGTCATCATAGTCTGATTGCAGTTTCTCTAGTTCTGATGATTTTTTTTTCAAGTTGCTTGTGATTTCTTCCAATAGTTTTGTTTTTCTGTGGAGATCATCAATCTCATGTTTTTGTAATTCACAGTCAATCTTAAGTTTGTCATATTCCGATGACTTTTCCTTTAGCTCACTGTAAGTGTTTAGCAATTTCTCTTTCAAATTATCCCTTTCCTTGGCACAACTTTCTGCAGCATCTTTAACTTTCTCATAGTCTTCAGTAATTTCATTGTGATTGTCTTTTAATTCAGTGTACTGACTTTTCAGTGTCTTGTGTATTTCAACCAAATTGTTATATTTACCTTTGAAATCATAAGGAGCAAATTTAGGCCCCGTAGTTACTGGTTTCTTCTCCACTTTGTTAACTTTGGCAGGAATAGTAGATGTTGCCTGTACAGACTGCGATCTCTTTAAGCGTGAGGCAGCTAAGGTACCTGATATTCCATTTGATGTTCCCTGCACTGATGCTGTTGACATGCTTTTGGTGATCATACCATTTGCTTTTGCTCCGACGATGGCCGTAGCACGTATAGGTTTAGTATGGTTTGCAAGTAAGCTTTTCTTGTCAGCGTCGCTGAGAACATTGGCTATACTTCTTGAAATTGGACGATTAATCAGACCTGGCCGATTCTCTTTTGTTGCCGTAGTAGGCAGTTTTGGGATTCTGGACATCTGTAATGGAAAACAACAGAATTCCAGTGAATTCTTGTATAATCTACATATCTACTACATTTTAGTTCTATTATTTAGCATTACTCTACATAATAATAAGTAATTACTGTCACGCACCTTTATGAAGTAATCCTTTATCAACACAACTTATGCGCACTCCAGGTGCTTCTGAAAGGAAGAAAATAACATTTTTACATTACTGAACAACAAAACACTGATACCTAGCTATTATAATAATTACGGATATCACAGTTTTATATATAAAATATCAACTGCTAATATATCTTCAAGTATACTAACATTGGACTGAAGAAAACAGTAAAATCGTTGAATTTCTCCAGACTGTCAATCACGTTAGTTAGAAAACGGACACATTTCAAATTTCAAAATAGAACGCTATTGTCTCTGAAGTAAAAATGTTACTAGTTAAAAAAAAGTCATTTATAGTAGAAAGGATACCCTAGTACTAAAATAGAAGTTACGCATTCACGGTTATATTCCAAGTTACTTCCTAGTATTGACAAGAGTTTTTTTAAATGGCAATATTTTTTTGTGACCGTTCGGTTTTCATTGCGGATTTACGAACGTGTGACGTAAAACATCTTTCTCGTATTGGTTGAACTGATAGTCAACAACTCTCCTGTCCAATAGGGAAAGTCATTTAAATTTCCCTGTGACAAATGAAAACGAACTCATAAAATTCAATTGCCATTTTCCTGGTGAGGAAGTGTGTGTGTGGTGCATTGAATTTTGGAGTAAATTTGCTAGTTTATATTGTGAAATTCGGTGGAAAGTGATATTTTTTGTCTAGTTTCTTTGCGTGAGATATTATTATGTAATACAAACGCTGTATCCAAAACGTGAACAATAAAAACAAACAGCATTGTTAACCTGTTTATCACAGTTGACGGATGTCCTTGTCCATTTTGCAAGTGCTGAAGTGGCGGTAAATTCAATTTTCTCCAATGTAAAGATTTGTGATTATCGTAACGTTTCAATTTCAAACACGTTATGGGTAGTCCAGAAGAAAATGTGCTCGCTTGCGAGAGCACAGCTGGAGTGGATGCGGAATTTGATACAGCAGATGCTTCAGACAATGAGGCTTCCGACATCGTTGATTCATCTGTAAATGTATCCGTGGATCAATCTGCTGGTGATGCGAACACGTCTAAAGAGGGAGACATATCCAGTTCAGGAACGTTTAAAAAGGCTAAAAAGAAATTTCGTCACGGCAAGAAGGGGCCAGGCACCTCTAAAGATAATACTGATAGGAGCATAGTGCGCAGAATTTATTATACTCCTGCAAAATTCAAGCAATGCAGAAAAAGAGCTCAAAGTTTCCCTTCCATTTCAAAGTTCTTCCTCCCGCATAAGAGGCCACGTAAAGACGTTTTTATTCCTCCAACAAAATTTCTTCTTGGGGGCAATATCTCAGACCCATTGAATCTGAACAGTCTGCAGGACGAAGATGTTAACAGAGCTATGAATGCTGTTACACCAGAATCATCACCATTGCCTACGCCTCCAAGGCACAAGGCTAAAATTGATGTCATCATACCCCCAAATATTCGAGATCCACTTAACTTAATGGAGCCCCTGGATAATGAAGAGTATGAAAAAAGGCTGGAGATGCAACAGCGCAAGCCACGCAAGAAGCCGCGTTTGCGCCGACGCACTACTGATAACACTTCACCAAAATCAGAAGTGGTTGTGGAAAAGGAGGAGGGAATTAAAGAACCACCTCCTCCTGAGCCCTCTACGTCAAAATCTCGAAAGAGGTCATGCAGTGAGAGTGAGAATGCTGCACAGAAAGTGAAGGATGCTAAGAAGTTACGCCGCATGGATTCTTTGGATAAAATTGTAAGTCCAGTGGTTCCACAGCCTGGAGCATGGATGCGTGCTAGACCCCAGTCGCGGCCGGCGGTGCCTGAACGCCCAGTCTCACCACATCGCACTAAACTCAAAACTGAAGGAGAGCAGAAGCTACCAACATTTCATCCAAAAAATTCAAGATATCAGTATGGAAATTACGACAGGTAAAGAATAACCAAGCTGTTATTATTACTTCATCTTATCATAAGTTTAAGATAAGAGTTATAAAGATAAGCAGGGAAATAAAAAAACTAACTTAAGTTGTTGCCTATCATATTGTACGCTTCTGAAAAACCAAATTTTCAATGGGCAGTTATTGCATACAGAAATACAAGATATTTACTCACTGAAAAATGTGGTTAACAATGCAGGTCTATTCTATAATATATTGTATTAGATTTGACATTGAACCAAAACTTGGCATGTGAATATTTTACACAATGCTTATTTCACTTTAGAAGTAGCATGAGTTAAAGTTAAATTAAAACAATAGCATAGACAAACTACAACAATTGGAATTTAACCAGAAACTATGAAGTCAAAAATATAACATACAATAGTTAAATTTTAGATTTTATATTATCAAGTAAAAAAGCATCAATATTGTAGTAACATTAAGTAACTAACAAATTATGCAATTTCATTTTAAAATTGTCTACCATTTAATTCTTTAACAGCATCATAATATAATATAATTTTATGGGTGCTAATATGAACATTGTTATACTGTAAAACTCCAACTTAGAGCATTGTTTGGGTATACTGTAAAACTCCAACTTAGAGCATTGGTTGGGCCGTATTTCTGTTGTATTCCTTGTGTTTCTAGGATATCTACCATATCCTAGACACACAAGGAATACTACAGGCGTCATAAATATAAATCAATGTAGGGTAGGGTTAATATCTTCAGTTTCCTACAGTAAGGTACACAACCTTCTCGCTGACCCACAACCAACATGGCCTTAACACATTTCTTCTGGGTTTTAAATGTATCCATATATTGAAACTTATTTTAGATTTTTAACCGACTTCCAAAAAAGGAGGAGGTTCTCAATTCAACTGTATTTTTTTGTGTGCATGTTACGCTATTACTCTTTTTTCTTAGAATTTGTGAACTGATTTCAATTATTATTTTTTTGTTGGAAAGAGGGTACGTCATTGTTGGTTCTATTTTAAATTTGAAGAAAATATTCCACCTCTAAGGGTAGCAAACTAGGTGACGAATATGGATTCCCGCACTTTCCGGTAACCAATTTCAATAAAAGTTGGCAAACAGATGACATTGTATAGTGTTGTCGTATTTGAAGATGGAGTAAAAGGACATTTGTGGGGTTGCCAGTTTATATATAGGTCTATTAGTATCAAAATCAATTTTTAGACACTTTTTTAATAATAACAGGCGGATTTGATTATGTGTACAAAATTAAAATGAAAAGCTTTAAAATACGTCTCCTATTTATATTTTTAATACATATACTTCTAAATTTAGTGTAAGTATGAATTAATTTTTAAAAATCAACAATACAAATGAACCTGTGCCCAGCAGTTGGATGTATAATAGGCTGATGATGATGAATGTAATGAAAAAATTTCGCCTATTTATTTCATAAGAGCATCCAACGTGTAGTTGATAGTCAATATAATATTTGTCAACTGCAATCGATCTGCTAGCAAACGTGGATAACATTTTTGCGCAATGAATTGTCATTTTACTCTGTCTTCAAAAAAGATAGTCTATAATTCCATGAACATTTGAGGTGGGTTCTTTAAAAAATTTTCAAACTAGCAAACAGACATGATCAACTGTTATTTCCTGATTCCAGGTATTACGGTTACCGCAATCTTAATGCAATGATGGATGTACGTCTGCAAGTGTTTGAGATGCACCGACATTTGTTTCACCACAAGGATGTCCTGGACATAGGCTGCAATGTGGGTCATATCTCAATCGCAGTAGCGCGTACTCTCGGCGCCCGCTCGGTCGTTGGCATCGATATTGACCCAGTTTTGATAGGTAATTAGACTTGAATCAAAGTTACTTGTATACACCAGTTTCTGAACCGTAACATCGTATGAAAGGTCTTGTAACACTAAACAGTATGTAAGGTACATACTGTTTGGTGTTATAAGGTAGGTTGTATTGAAAATAATATTGCAGATTATTTTTATTTAATCCCATCTTTATTCCCAAATAAAAGTATCCATTCTTATAAGGCTTTTGCAATTCGTTTTTCCTTACTTTTCTTTATAAATGGTTTGTAAAATGTTTCAATATGCATTTTTAGTGCAAGTATTATTCATGGTAAACTATTCCAGTTGTTTTGTTGCAACTTATTATGTAATGAGATATTTATATACAATTTTTAAACTTTCTCTCTTGAACTTGAAATCTGCAATCAGTCAACCAGGCTACATATTCCAGAAAATTAGGGCCATTGTCTTATCTATTATAATTTTAAAATTAGACATTTTCACAAATTGTGCAATTTGCTTAATGTGTGTTTAAAAATTCTACTGATGTTATCTGCGTAGGATGAATACCCTATAAAATTACCTTTTTTATAAGTGTAATCATATATATTAATTATATTAAAAGTAAGTAAAGTTGTATGAGTTGAGAACTTTGTGTGTTCAAGCTTGTATTTGTAATGTTAAAATTGTGCTCTATCGCGTTTCGCTTAAGGTTTATTTTCGAATTTACCCCCTCCTTCAACTTTAATTTTTATAGAAAAAATATACCACCAGGGATTTAATTAATGAATAATTAAGTAAAGCCGGGTACTCATTAGCGAACTGTAACTGTAACGTGCAGATACAGTAACGAGGTTCTAGTGTGTACGCATGAAACAGTCTTCGATTAGACGGCTCACTGAAAACCACACCGCGTACCGCTCGCGGCAAGCTCGCGAACCACGTACTAACTATGGTTACATAACATGCAATGGTTACAGTTACAGCTCACTAGTGAGTACCCGGCTTAATATTTGGGACGTTGTTATTTCTGATATGTATTGTATATTGATACAGTCTCATGCTTTACATTGAATAAAATGTACTAGTTATGGTGTAGGTACTTCCCTTTGAATATATGAAGTCCTTTATTCTCCATTGAGCAAAATAGGCGCTCGGACGTCGAGTTGCGGACAAAAGCCCGTTACACTACACTATACTATACCATACAATGGTGGCTTGTATCCTAAAGCTGTCTTTGAATAAAACCCATAGCGTTAATTGAGACAGATAGCTATCTCACTGATAAACTTATTAATTGATAACATATTAATTTTGACTTTCAGGACGAGCAAGGAAGAACTTGCGATCCTTCATACCAGTTCCAACCGAACCGCCAAAGGCAGAAGAGGGAAAAAAGTCTGAATTAGAAGATGATAAGAAAGATTGTGATAAGTGCAAAGAGCAAAAATGTGAAGACTGTCATATTGAGAAGGAGGAACATGACAAATTGGAGGAAGACAAGAAACCTTTACCTGGGCGGAAGATACGCAGACCCCGTAAGAATAGGAAGGCTGTGAATAAACAAGAAGGGCAATGCTTTTTTCCGATGTCAATGTCGATATTGTATGGTGCTCTTGGTGATCCCGCGGCGGAGGCTACACCACCTCTATTTCCTTATAACGTCACATTTAAACAGGTAAACAAATTATCCATTGGGCTCTGACAGCTAATACCACCCTCACTAAAGGGCACTTTGAAAGGTTTAGCTGTTAAAGTATCCAATGAGTTATTGAAAATATCTTGTGTGAAATGGTTTTGCAACAAATTTTACAATGTTGGACAACTCCAACGAGAAACACTCTTGTACATATTTACTAAGAACTATTCCTGCATCATTGTAATTTACTTTTATCTTAGTCGATTTACGTGTAAGGAATTTAACAAGCATCAATCTTAATTACTTGTTGTTTATTGTATGTACGAGTCTTAAAGTACCATAGTATTTTAGTCCAGTCCACGTTTTTATGTGCCAATTGCTGTTTATTTCTAGTGATTCTTCTAGTCTTAAGAGTAATTTAAACAGTTAATCAAAAAGTCTAATAATCAACAATTGAGTAACTTAACGAAGATAATGGGACAAATATTGTATCATAAATTATATTCCAAATAGGGCAACAAAATAATTCGCACCTTTCATGGAAGAATGGCATAAGTGGTGTTACGTCATAAATTTTTATTGCTCCATTAGATTAATATTGAAGATAGAGTTACAAGAATTTAAGAGGATGTGAGTTATATTTTTCTGTATCTTCATATTCATATATTTTGTAACATAAGATATTATAAAATATAATGCAGTAGTCACAAATTGTGGATAATAACTATTTTTTCATAATATAAAATTAAATAACATTTAAGTATATGACGTAATCTATTTCATGACTAGGAAAATGGTTCTTAACTTTTATTAAATATTTCGTCTAATTTATAAAATGCGTTATTAAAAAGGTTAATTTTTTAGATGGGCAAGAAATGTTGATAATTTTTCTTGTTTTTTTTTATCTCATTTGGTATGCTATTATATTATATATCTAACGAAGTAATAAACGTTTTTGCCGTAACTCCACTTATGCCATCCTTCCATGAAGGGTGCGGTTGTATAATTCTAAACTATAATAAATAAATTGGATAACATAGATTTTGGCAAGTTTTAGAATTTCTATAAACACAAATGAGGCTTCATTTACACTTTTACAGGGTAACTACGTGCCCCGAGAGGAAGTAGCACTAGGGTCGGCTGAGATCCCTCAGTTCGATCTTATCTTATGCCTGTCGACTACCAAGTGGCTGCATCTGAACTGGGGCGACGCCGGTCTGAAGCGCGCCTTTCGCCGTATGTTCAACGACCTACGTCCGGGCGGGAAGCTTATCCTTGAAGCGCAGAACTGGGCCAGTTATAAGAAAAAGAAACGCTTAACTGTAAGTTCTTAACATTGTTTTGGATTAGAATTTATTTGAGTAGATCTATGGTATAGAACTGGTTTCTGTAACTCGAGGCAGCACTTATTTTGTGTATGGTGAGTGTAGCGCTCTGCTTGTGTCATGCGTGTACCTTTACAATCTTAGGTATTTCGCCCTTTAATTGACCACGCTAGAGCATTGTAGTAGCTGCTTCCTCCTCCTCCATCCACACTGTTGGCAGAGTTCCTAGCTTGCCTGCAAAACCGTAGGGGTCGTACAGAGGTTGTCCTGAGAGGCTGTTTTGCTCTTCTTACGGCGTCCATGACCGACAAATTTCTAGCCAATTCATCGATAAAAGATTGGTAGCATCCATTTATCTAGACCTAAAAAGGGGTACCCCTTTGTAGATCTAGAAGAGAGCCTAAATAATACTATTTGAGTAAGGTGAGCGCGTTCTGAATGTGGAAATTCGTTAATAGAATTCGAATTGTATGTATGGTATCAACTAACAGTAATTAGACTATAGAAAGAATTTTCTCAATATTCAATAAAATCCAATAGTAGCATTGTGGCTCTATCTCATCTTAAGCTGTATGGTACTTAATGGGAATTACTTTTACAAAATAAATATTATTGGATTTCTTATTATAGTTTATATAAAAAGAAAAGATAAAAAAGATGATATCGCTTTGAATTGCTTTTTTAGCGGCATTTGAAATGAAAGTGAAAAACAGATGGAACACTACATTGCTATTTATATATACAACCACGTTATCTCCTACATTAGACATATTTAAAACATTATTTCCTTGCCGTGTGAGTGCTTATATGTTATGCTATGTTATAATCATTGATCGGAATTGAGGCAGTTAATTTAGCTAAACTAAACAATAACGTGGACATTCCCTTCGAATTGTCGGAACTGATTAATTATATTTCAATATGAGTACATGAGTACAGAAATTTGAGTACATTGGCGGCAAATTATTATTTGCTTAATATTATTTGCCATAAATTATTGTTTCGAAAAATAATATTGTAGTTGAATTTCTATAGGTACTTACGTATTTAAATACTTTAGCCATTTAAAAAACAAACCTGGGACAGCCTATTTTTGGAATGCTTAGAAAATAAACAATAAAAAAAGAAATTTTACACTCATTGATGAAGAAATGTATGTATGTTATGTATGAGGTATGTCCATACTAAGAAAACGTTCATACTTTAGGTAGATTAGCTGTCTCAATTCCGGTCACTGGTTATAATTTAATAAGTATTGATTATTAGTACATAGCATAGAATAAAAGACGCAAAAGTTTAACAAGCGAGTTTATACTCATTGGTAAATTCTACTCGGACTGTAATTCTTAACAGTAGTTAAGTTGCTTTCTTTTTGGAGATTTAATAGTCAATTAATGTTTACATATAGAAGTACAAAGAGGGATGTATAATTTATTGTATTTCGTTTATTATTTATTTTCTTTTACAGCCAACTATCTACGAGAACTTCAACTCCATCGAGTTGTTCCCGAACAAGTTTCGGGAATATCTCCTGTCGCCTGAAGTTGGCTTCAGTAAGTGTTGCATATTGGGAGTGCCACAGCATGCGAGCAAAGGATTCCGGCGGCCGATCCAATTGTACATCAAGGGAGATTTTACACCCAGCAAGGCGCGCTGGTCGGATGCGTACGCGCCGTCGTCGCACCATCGGCCCGAGGCGGAGCCGCCCCGGCGGACAGTGTACGCGCCTGTGGCCCCCGCGTACCGGCCAAGCGACGATGCGCCATCTTGTGGCGCCGCCACGCCCTACTCGCCGAACTTGGACTGCTGCGCGGACGACTCGCCGTTCTACAACCCGCGCAGCGATTCGTACGCGCCGTCGTATCAGCCTCCGCGGCCGACGGTGTACGCGACGCTGCCGTCGCCGCTAGGCAGTGCGTCTCCCGCGGCTTCCCCCGCTGCGTCTCCCGCGCCGCATGCCTCGCCCGCGCCCGACCCGCTCTCGGCCCGAGGCTTCCCTGAGCCGCGGCTCCACGACGACTGAACGCCGCCAAGCGGCCTTTCCGCCTTTATTATCTATGTAAATACTGGTTTTGAACCTGTAGGATTATGTTTTAAGCTGAAAGTATTTTATATTATACTTGTAATGTATTAACCTGAAGTGTTGTTTTATTTCTTATATTTAGAAGTACCGTGACTAATAACTCAAAAGGACTGCTAATTTCCATATTACAGATCGTAGCCCGTCTTGTATCCCGCCAGGAAGTAGTTTATAAAATAGCCGTGGATATCAGTTAATTCTTCTTTATATGAAATGTAATTTAGTTTTTTCCTTGTGATATTATTCAAATATTGATCATGAGCTAAAATTATTTTTTAAACTTTGACAAATATGCGTAACAATAGATGGCACTGTGTGTTACAAACTAATTTATAAATTAACGCTAGCTAATGTGGGTAACAAAATAAAAGAATAGCCGTGGTCGGTACTATTTGACGAGTTGATTTGATTAATATTAGTAGCTTTGATAAATTGCAGCTTGTCAATGTAAAACAAATTAGTCACAAAAATAGCTATTTGGTTGGCACCCATAGCGACATCAGCCCTATTACCCCGTAGCCATGCTACGGGGGCTGGTGTATATTTTTTTTTTTTTTTTTTTTTTTTTTATTGCGACTCGACAAAATGACTGCACCGCGCCTGATGGAAAGTGCGAATACAGTCCAGAGATGAGAGTAACGGATGGAAAACACAAATATCTTCACTCCGTCACTATCATTTTGCCGGTCTGGCCAAATGCACTGGATGTACACCAACTGATCCCTGAACGCGATTCGCAAAAGCGTTTCACTGTGGAGGGTTTTCCGCCGTGTGTACTGTGGTCGCTATCCAGTCGGCACAGAGCCTACCACAATGCTAAGCAGATGGACACTTGTGACGCCCTCGGTCGCCTCTTACGACCCCCACGGGCATGTATGGGGAGGCGACAATGTATTCTTAAGCCGTCGCCCCACGGCTCATGTATATGTAGTAATAGGTACTAAATACTCGACTACGCTGTCTTGTATCGTGATTGGCAGACCTCTTGAGTTACTGGTCAATGGAATTACCAAGGCGTTAGGTACTGTAGTCTAGAGACGTAGCTCCGGTCGCGTAACGAGAGGTACTTTATAAATACAAACTGGGATTATCTTCATAACTAGATATTTATTGTGTTTTTCACATATTCACTTATGGAGACTACTTCTAGATCTGCAAAGATGTTCTTTTTTCTATCCTATTTTTTTAAACACATTCTAAATACAAATCTATATTCACTCGGCCAGTACTTCTACACATAGAGTAGAGGCTAGACTACAGTACCTATCTATAGGCCAAAAATACTGTCACCGCATGTTCAACGATATGTATATGTCCAATCAGAAATTATATACAAATGTTTTGAAAGTATATTATACATATATTCACACGCGCTTCAATACACGGCGTAACATGTTTTTTTTAATAATACATATGGGCGTGCACAAATGAATTAAATAAGTCAGTCAGTACCGTGCCTTATTCCAACGTAACCATTGGCATGGTCAAGTTTTTGAAATTGGTCTAGCCAGAAAAAAAGTCGCTATTTAGTCGCCTAACTTAACTTTTTCGGCATGGTAGCCGAACGGTTACCGTTTTGCGTATGCTGATGGCAGCACAGTTGTAGATACTTATAGGTACTTACAGTTATAGGTACTTTTTACAGGTATACAGTTAATGCAAGGGTCAGTGGAGAGGAAATACAGTGTTGTCGAGAGTTCACGGTTAGCCGTTTGGATTTGACACTCCAGGCAGTCTCCGATTGAGGCGATGCTAATCTTGTCAAATTTAACGCTTCCAAAACTCAGGCATGTCTATTCTCCATAAAACGGAGTCCCTTCGAGCTGATTCCGACTTTTCGTAATATACCGATAGCCGACTGCATCCAGCTACTTGGAATGGACCTGTCGTCCAATTTGAACTTCGGCAGATACATTGAATCCATGGCCAAAAATGCAGCAAGGATGCTTGGCATCCTTTCCAGGGTGTGGCGTTACTTTACACCGGGACAGTTGCTTCAGCTGTACCAAGCACAAGTCCGGCCGGGCATGGAGTACTGCTGCCACCTTTGGGATGGCTCTGCTACATATCAACTGGCCACTTTGGATTCAATTTACGATCGTGTCAAGAGGGTTACTGGTGACTCGGAATTAGTGGAGGCGGAACTGCAAACCCTTGAACACTGCCGTAAAGTTGCCTGCTTGTCGGTATTTTACTGGATATATCACGGAGAGTGTGCGATGGAATTACACGATTTAATTCTGCCTTCCCCTTTCCATTACCGGGGGACTGGGCGTAGGCTTGGGTTCCACCCCTATGTTGTGGATATTCCAAAGATTCGCACAAAGCGTTACGCTTCCACGTTTATATGGCGAACGGCTATGGAGTGGAATTTCCTGCCTGCAGACTTGTTCCCTGAACGTTATAACTTGGGTCTTTTCAAGGCGAGAGTGAATAGGCATTATAAATAATTCACACCTAAAGGTGTGCACGCTCCATCGTCGACCTCATCCTCACTTTCCATCAGGTGAGATGGTGGTCAAATGCTGCACTTATATTTTATAAAAAAATAATAATTAAGATTTACCAACGTTGAGTACATTCTTACAAAAATAGAAACTTATGCTAGGAACGACTTAAAACTAAATGCATCAAACAATTACAGGTAAATATATCTCTTCGCAATTAGTTACTAGACAATGCAAAAACAACTTGAATTAACATCAAACAAATAACACAAACTAAACTAAAGTATACTTAATAAAACATTTGGGTTACTACAAAAACATCACAAGTGTAAGAAAAATTTTTGAATTAAAAAAATCGTAATTTGATTGCATGTGCCCCTCACGTCGATTTCACTCAACACAATACCACGTTTCTGTAAACGTATCTAATTAAGGTTTAATTAAATATACAGTAGCTTTAAAGTAGGGTTCGAAATTATCATTCTTTTCAGTAGCAGAAGAGCCCCTTGTGAAACAGTTCGCCCAGCGAAGTACTGCCACCTTACCTATTTCGGTGGCTAAGCAGTAGGTACTAAGTTAAAAGCGTTGTATAGTAGTCATTATGTTGTGAAATAGTAGAAAATCGTATGTATATTTTGCCTCGGTCTTTGGCATTGGCCCCACGATAGAAACCTTGTGGCACCCCACTGAATTCCTTATAGATTTGTAACCATTTGTCACTAATTCTTCATTCTCTCTTCTCTAATGCTCTAATCTGAGTTGCAAATACGCCTGCAAAATATGTGAATTTCATTTTTACGATACCAAATGACGGGACGCACCAATCGTGCACCTGGCGGTAAACGACACGCCTGTCCATAACAGTACAGTTCCAGAGACACTGTCACTGCACCCATCACCTGAGACATAAGTTAACAAGTCCCATTTACCTATAATTTCATCTAATTGGAAACCTGCCTTTAATTACATCTTATATACTTTAAAAAAGGAGTAAAGGCCCTTAAATATTTGGAATAATGATTACCTTCGAAATAATTCGTTAAAGAATAAAATTCATATTAGACACTTTATAGTAGGGTTGGAAGTAATAAAAATTATGAAAATTATCGCAATAATGATCTTGATTGATACATCTTGATATTTAAAAAATAATTGGAATAACAAAATACTACCGCTATTAATGTAATCGTGACATGTGTTTGTATCAAAGACATATACAAAAATATCAAATGTCAATCTCAAAAACTCACAAAAAATCTTTCCAAAGATTTTTCTTTGTGTTTATTTAGTTTTCTCACTGTTAGTAATTTTTACTCAAAAATTAAAGAGACAATACTAGGAATTTGAATGGATATGAATTATTAGATGATTATCAGATAATTTTCATAATAATTATCAAAGAAAATAAATATCTTGCTATTTTATTTATAATAAATACCATGTGACGGTACGAACAAGTCGTGCGCCTGCTGGTACGCAACACGCCTGTCCATAACAGTTGCAATGCTACTCAGAGCTTTAAACCGCTAAGATCTGAGGGGCATTGTCAATGCGCCCGTCAGCCTGAGACATAAGTTGACAAGTCCCATGTGCCTGTAATTTTACTAGCACCCTTACTTATCCTTCAAAACCAGGACGCAGTAATATTAATATTACTGCTTGGCGGTACAAAAACGTAAGGTGGCAGTACCTACTTCCCTGGACGAACTCTTTGATAAGGAGCTCTACTGCTACTTCAAAAAAAAGCAATAAAAAAAATATTTATACAAACTACGGAATAAGTTATACTGTATCAGTGACTTGCCATATTTATTAAAGCGGAATCGGTTTCACCCGATCAGAAAGCAAAAAAACGTTGCGTGTTTTGCTTCCACTCGAAGGCACGACGCGCACAACGACATTTTCGCTCTTATTACATATTAGTAAAAAGTTTAATGTGTGTATTGCAGGTGCAATTTGAATTAAAATAATTTCAGTACAGTGTACTAAAAAAACCGACGTCAAAAGTCATTCATCTCCTAGTTTGCAACCTTTAGAGGTGTAATAATTTCTTTAAATTTAAATGGGACCACTACTGAGGTACCCTCTTTCCAAAAAAAAAGGAATCTTTTTTTGGTCTCTTCAACAAAAAAAAGAATCATCAAACTCGGCAACATACATACAAAAAAAATACAGTCGAATTGAGAACCTTCTCCTTTTTTGAAATCGGTAAAAGTCTCGCATTTTTTAAAACACCCTAAATTGAATGCTGTGTAAATGTCGTAAGGTACATATTTCAACAAAAATTTGCCTCATTATATTTGTGTGCTGTACGTGATACATTCCATTTTAATTTAAATTTACTCCAAATTTGCTAATAAGGTACCGGAGGTTGCGTTCCTGTCTGCAAAATATTACGCTCACATGATCCCGGAGAGGTTCTGACGCTGTAAGCTAATTGCACACGGCATAAGAAGCTCTAGGTGAATTCTTGGTTTATGTTTACTAAATTGGTAAATACAATATACTATAGGATGTAATCACAGACCACATGATGTAATTAACTAGGATATAATTTGGACCTTGCTTTGACCATTTTTATTCAGTTACCTTATGGGTCTCCAAATTA